AGCTTATTTCAGCTTCATCTCATTATTAAACTCGAATATACATCGGGAAATGTTAATTTGGCCTTAATTCAATAGATGGTGTGTGATGAGCAGAATCATGATACTTCCATGATAAACCTCAAAAATAAAAAAATGAAAATATACTCAAGCCAAAGATTGTTTTTGATTGTAATCATAGCGATCTACAATTCCCATAGTTTAATTACAGTAACTATGGGTGTTGTAGATCGCTATAATCAGGAAATATCCTTTCATGCGACAATTCTAATACGCCAGAAAAAATATTACAAAGATAACGGGTGTCCATAATTAAACGATACTACTTCAAAATTGTATACAGACGAAACCATTGTTCAGAAAGTTGCAAAATTATGTGTACGACATAAAGAATAGACGGGAATTTGTTTGAGAGAATAACAAAAATTAGTTTAAAATTTCGCCATTAGAGGGCGTTTTTAATGGTGATCATATTTAGCATACATTAATACTTAGTATACATTTATAACACAGATTACAAATTTTGTTACAACAATAAAGGCTCAACATGATGACCATCATTTTCAGCTACTATTTGAAATCGTAAGATAGCATGTTCCACCGTTGAACGCAGTGTGTTCTGGGACATGTTAAGAACATGTCGTGAACATTGGTTGATCACAACTCACCAGCTGTCTTAAATGGCCCCAAAGCCAAAAATCACATGGATTGAGGTCAGGTGATCAGGAAGGCCTCAGATGAAGAAATTGGCTGCTGATCACACGTTCTTCTGGGAAGTGATGTTTACGAACGTCCTTAACACAACGTGTAATGTGTGGAGGAGCTCCATCTTGCATAAACATTATGCGTGAAAGGCACGGACGTGCTTGCAGATCCGGAATAATTTTATTCCGTAATAACAATGCATATCGCTGTCCAGTGATAGAACATGTTACTGGACCCCCAGCACCTAATTCCTCGAAAAAAATACGGGCCAAGAATAAAAGACGCGGAAAACCCACATCACACCATTACTTTTGGTGAGTGTAGCGGAACTTGAAAGGTGGAATGCGGATTGTCTGATTCCCAAATTCGACAGTTGTGAGTATTCACTGAACCGTCCAAATGAAAGTGGGCTTCGTGTGTCCAGAGGATATTCCAAGGCCATTCTGGATCAACTTCCAAACGAGCAAGAAACTGCAGTGAGAACAGATGTCGAGTCTCGAAATCATGTGGAAGCAATTCATGCACAAGTTGAAGCTTGTATGGATAGTAACGGAGAATGTTTCGCATGATCTTCTGGACAGTTGAACGAGGCAGATCCAATGCTTCTGCTACAAGGCGAACACTTGTACTAGCCTGCACGTTGGACGCATTGTCATCTTCCACCTGAAGTGCAACTTTCTCTATTGCTTCCGCAGAAACAGGTTTTCTTCCTCTTCCAGAACGAACATTCAACGATCTTGTTTCTTCAAATTTGGTTACCTTGTAATTGAAGATTTATAGCTGTCAATGGACCTTTTCGCATCCCCTTTAAAGTCCAAAATTTCCGTAGAGCAACTATTGTGGAATTATCGTTTTGATAGAATAACTTTACTAACAACGCTCGATCTGGTAAACGTGATGACATTCTGATTAGCAATACCGAGCACACTGAAAATAAACTAATCTCCCGTGAAAGTTTATTGCTTTTATAACAGTTGCTGTGTGACGTCGAAAAAAAAGTTTGTAGTTCATTTTAGAGATTGTGTTTTTTAATGAGTATCAGTTATTGTGTTACCGTGTCCTGTGGATAAAAAAGCGATAAAATACAAATGGAAAACCGGTAATAAATGTGGCCTTCATTCAAAAGCGACCTCTAGTGGCGAAATTTTGAACTAATTTCTTTTATTCGCTCAAACAAATTCCCATCCCTTTTTTATGTCGTACACAGAATTTTACAACTTTCTGAACAATAGTTTCGTCTGTACACAATTTTGAAGTAGTATCGTTTAATTATGGACACCCGGTATTTTTACATTTACTAGACAAGGTACTCTGTAACTCATTTCGCTCAATAAAAAAATCTAGTTGGGAAACATATTACATTTCTAGAATTTCAAATCCAAGTTGTAGAAGAGATTTTACATGAATATGATGATGCAGCTTCTCGATAAAAAAAAATTCTGGTATACCACCTACGGTAGATAACCCTGCCTGTCTTAGTGAACGACACTATATATCCCATGTTACTTCTACTCCTGCAAAACATGAACCTACAAGACAGTGTGAAGTTTCTCGTTCAAAAAAGGATGAAAATAGAAAAAAGATAAGATAAGAAACACGGTGCTTGTGCAATTATTATGTCTGTTTGTGCTTGGAAAAGTGTTTCCGGTTGTACCGCATAAAACTGATTAACTGAACCACTTTTAAATGTTCATTTTTATTTTTTTTTACTCCTTTTTAGAAAATAATTCTGCACTAGAATTGAACTTTTCCACTGCAATGCTGTGTGACAGCTACTTCGAGTGAATATACAGTTGCTACAAAACCTTTAAAATTTGTAAGCATGTTATTCAATATAACAGTTTTTAACTACTAAGTATATTTTATTTCGCACAAAACATTTGATTTTTGTAATAAAAAAGTTCGATAATCTATGAATTCAAATCAATAAAATAACTTGGCAGTTAAAGGCAGTGCCGATTTAAGCTCATTTTGGGCCTTGGGCGCAGAAGATCTACATGCCTCTTTGGCACTGGCGGATCAGCACTCATAAACAAAAAAATTATAATCCTTATCCGGGCCCCTGGGAGTATGCCCCAAGCGTCCAATGGATAAACCGGCACTGGTTAAAGAATTAAAATAGCTTCGGGGAAGTGAACTGTAATGAATTTATTTTAATTTTCATACAAACATGCTCACTCAAAATATATATATCACTGTATCAGAAAGAATCAATTTAAAAAATTCTTTAAAAGAAAAAAAGCATTGATTCATGGCACACCTTGTAAGCAATTAACTATTCTAATATTGTAAAAGCACTAATAAGTCAAATTAGGTCAGTCTCAAAAACAATTTTAGTAATGAAATAGTGTGTAGTTCTTAAATTAATATTCGTTTCTCTGGCATTATAAGATAGATTCAAATATTTTCAAAATTACATTTAATGAGTAAAAAAGATATACGAGAAAATAATCACTTTAACTAGTATAATAATTTTAAAAAGTCATTAATTTCTCCCTTGGAGAATCCTAAAACATACACAATTTTAAAGAATCAATCTTTATCACTCCGTCATATACTTTAATTTACGCACTTTCGAAAACTTTGAACTAGGTCGAGAACTCGCAATTATCTTAGCTTTAGTTTTCAGCGTTTCGTTATATATTATCTTAACTTAATGAAGCTAAAATAAAATAATGACTTCAAACTTGTCGAAGTCATTATATAATTCTGAGCACTTAATGTATCTAAAGCGGAATTTCTTTAGCAGATTTCTTTCATTACTGAATGTTATAACATCGTTGTCTTAAGTTGTTTCCTCACGGCACATTTTCCATTAATTACTCCATTTAATTTTCATTTCATTAATGTTAAGTGATACATAATTAATGTGCATTACCTTTTTGTCTACTTAAGCTTTCTACGAACATTTCGGGGTAAAAAAAATATGGACTCCAAGATACTGTGCCTGAACGACTTCGAAGAATATGCCAAAAAGAATATGGATCGTAAAACACTGGCTTTCTATAGCCAAGGAGCTGAAAGAGAATTCACCTTAAGAAAAAATGTTCAGTGCTTCACCAAGTTAGAATTTTTAATTTGGTTCTCAAAGAACATGCTTTTTGAAGAAAAAAAGCATCTTAAACACTTAAAGATGCATTTGATATCTTAATAAAGTGCTTTACTATATTTTAGCTCTAGTGAGCAAGAAATTATGTATGTTTCTCTGTGCATTTCAACTTTTTTATCCTTCCAAATATTAAATTATATTTTTTGATCATTTCTGTTTTAAAAGCAATGCTTGAAAGAACGTATTTTAAAATGATAAATGCTTCTTAATTATTTATTTCACAACTAAAAACCTAGTCTCTCGATAAATTCATTAAAACAAGTATTTTAAAAACATTATTTCAATTCCTAATTATGTCAACAAAGAAAACAATCTTTAATTACTTTTATAAAATCGGGGTTGGGGCAAAAGTCATGGCAACTATTTTTTTCTTGAAGTTACCAATCCGGTTGGAAAATGTCACTTATACAATGTTCAAGGTTTCAACTACAAGGAGAAAATGAATAGCACTAAAATATCGTAACACACGAATTTATTACGATAGTATACAGGGCAATATGGCTTTCACGGTGCAAAAGAATGACAACACAATACACATAAAGTTGACATGACAAACCTGGGCCTATAGACCCTTAATGTAATTCATGAGCTGCTCAATGACGGCACGTGCCAGGTTGGTCCATACACTGACCGGTCGTGCTAAGCGTTGCTCATCACTGGGTGACACATGTCCTTGCTGAAACTTTCCTATACACCATGCTACTGTACGGTATGGTAGGGCATTATTCCCAAGAGCTTCCACTAATTTATTGTGACATTCCATTGCATTTCTCTCTTGGAAAATGGCTATTTTGATGTAAGCGCGCTGCTCAACATTGGTTACTTCCATCTCGCAAGACACTTATTGACTGACTGATTTCACAGCACTCGCTGAGGTACTACCAGCTATCCGCTACTACACACTATGCCTACAGAGCTTCCACACAATACATATACGTTTGTGATCCATTCACACATATACAAAAAAAATAGTTGCCATAACTTACGCCCCAAACCTCGTATATATATATATATATATATATATATATATATATATATATATATGACAGAATCACAATATTAGTGACGAAATAGAAAGCAATTTTCCTTGCAAGTTTTCATTTTCCTTTCTAGATATTATTCATTAATTTAATTCAATTATTCTTAAAATAGTATAGTAAAAAAGAATTTACGTTCTTAGAACTTAGGTCATCCCAGGTGGAATTCGAACCCACGACCTTTGGATACGAAGTATCCAACGCGCTATCCATTGTGCCACAGGGACACATCGAAAGATTTTTCTTTTCTATACATGCTGTTGGACTATTATTTTTGGTTGTTTCTATTAATTCATTTTTTAATTTAATTCATGAATTAGTATTTGGAAAAACTGTATTAATATAAAGTGGCATCCACTACAAGTTAAAAAAATGCATTTGAACATTAATAGATTAATAGAAAAGTATTTATTAAAGATTGAAAATTTGAACATTAATAGATGAAAGATATATATGAAAATGAACAAGATATATATATATATATATAGGGAGAGAGTGAACTAATAGTAGGAATTGAAAAAAATTAATTTAACTGTAATTTATCTCATATAATAAGAGATGAATCTTTCTCCTTCGTTAATATTATTCTTTCAAAATAAATGTATTCCTTTTAAAATTAAAATTATTCAAGATGAAATTAAACTGAATAGGCTTATTGAGTAAAAACTCTAGATTGTTAAAAAAGTTTTCTTTTTTTTCTGATTAATTTTTTAATTCTTGAGCATTAGAGAAAAATAATAACTAAACAGAACAGTTTTAATTATTAATATAAAAGTATTATTTTTTTTCTAAAACTTATATATATATATATATATATATATATATATATATATATATATATACTGAGGAACATTGAAAATAGCGACCAAAGAAGAAAGCATCGGATTGAAATGAAATTTAATACACATAATGACACAGATGAGAGATTCACTTGATCTCAAAAACAAGACAATTAAACGAATACACATCGACACAAATACTCGGCAACTTCAATAGCGCGTTGGACCACCTCCAGCTGCAATACATGCCGCCACACGGTCCGGCATTGAGTTGATTAGACACCTTATGTTGTCCTGAGGCAGATAGGCCCACAAATCCTGAACAGACAACTCTAAATCATTTACAGAATCACACGATGGCATCTGCCGTTTTAGCTGATCCCACACGTGCTCTACAGGGGACAAATCGAGGGAGCGGGCTGGCCATGGAAGAGTCTGAAAATGACGTAGGAAGTTTTGAGCAACTCTTGCTGTATGCGGATGAGGATTATCTTGCTGGAAAATTGCCCCTGGGAGACCATTTAGGAAAGGTCCTACATGTGGTCGAAGAATATTATCAACGTAACGTTGGCCCGTTAAGGTTCCACGCATCACAATTAAAGTGGACCGGCTATCATAGGCTATGCCCCCCAGACCATTACACCAGCTGTGCGGGCAGTGTGACGTAGAACAATGCGGGAGGAATTGTACCGCTCACCAGGGTGCCTCCACACCCGTACACGGTTAGCATCTCCCCAAAACAAACCGGGATTCATTACTAAACACAACCTTTTGCCAATCTGTGACATTCCACATTGATCTGGCTTGGCACCACTGTAGACGCAGTTGACGATGTTCCGGTGTTAAAGGGAGTGCACGGCAAGGGCGCTTGGATTCAAGATTTGCTTCAACAAGGTGTCTGGAAATTGTTTGTGGAACAATTGCTACGCCTACGTCTGCTCGTATCGTTGAACAAGTCACTGTGGGGTCCACAAGTGCTTGCCGCACGATCCTTCGATCCTCTCTCCTCGTGGTCTTCGGTTTTCCACCTGGTCGCTCCCGACCCGGTTTTCCACGCGTAGGTACCAGTTTTCCTCGTGACCACTGTGAAACTCCTTAACAATTTCTTAACGGCACACCCGAACGATCCACCTCCTGATTGGCCAGCAACACGGCGCGTCGACCAGCCTTATTTGCAGTTTTCAATGTTCCGATGATGTGTGTGTGTGCGTGTGCGTGTGTGTGTGTGTGTGTGTGTTGTGTGTGTGTGTGTGTGTGTGTGTGTGTGTGTGTGTGTGTGTGTGTGTGTGTGTGTGTGTGTGTGTGTGTGTGTGTGTGTGTGTGTGTGTGTGTGTGTGTGTGTGTGTGTGTGTGTGTGTGTGTGTGTGTGTGTGTGTGTGTGTGTGTGTGTGTGTGTGTGTGTGTGTGTGTGTGTGTGTGTGTGTGTGTGTGTGTGTGTGTGTGTGTGTGTGTGTGTGTGTGTGTGTGTGTGTGTGTTGGGACTGTGTTGAAAAACTAGAAGCACTTAACTGTAAGAAATGTCTTCTAGAAGCACGTTTACCTGTAACATGGCATGTTTCGCTTATCCAAAGACTTAACACCCTACAATACGACGCGGGGTAATCGTCACGCCAATCATTTTATGAATATTTAGCTAGAGTCGCGATTTGCTTAAATTTAGCTAAAAACACAATAAACTAATAATTTAACCAAGTAATTACTTTGATGATTTAAACTCCTGTTAAATGTTTTACAAAGATCAAATAGCGCCAGTAATTAAAAATTGTATTTTGAGTTAGCATACAAATTTTTAGGTTTTATTGGCAAAAAACAGTGTCACGGTGGAGGTAACATTCAGTTTTGCGAAGAATTATTCAAAAACTAAAAATATAATAAGAAAAACAATTTTTTTACAATTTAATTAAAATGCGGTTGTCTCGGACAATAAAACCTCAAAATATTTTTTAAACACAATCAATTGAATCACAATAAAAAAACTATTATACAAAGAATACTACTTCACTCTTGTATGCGCTTCTTTTCCAAAAGTAGTGCACTCGCGAGATTTTGGAATTTGAGGGAGTGAGTTTTAAAATATCTGGAAGAAAACAATGAGCTGCCCCCGGTGAGTGCTTGCTACTCAAGAAAGAAGACTTCCTGCGGGAGATTAAGCTTTTCTTCCGATGTTATGGGACATTCAAATAATTGAAACTTAAGGTTGCAGGGAAAAGATTGTAATTTTCCTACCGTAATTGGTCATGTATCTTTTCTAAGAAAACTTTTGCACCTTTTGTCTTAATTACGAAGAAAAAGACTAGCAGGTTTCACAATAATGTAGTGACTATCTACCAAATATGATAATGCTCCAAGCTATAATATATTTAAAATTATAATATTCATTTTGAAGTATTCATTCGGTTCGTTTTAGGTTGGATGTTTTTCAGGATGATAAAAATAAAATGCTGATTTTTTTCATAAATCCTTTTTCAATTTCTCATTGACGTTAATGGGTTCAATTCCTGACCATCACATGATAAAGATAAACACGTGTTCTCCACTGAATTCAAAGCAGATATCAAACTATTGTTACTTGTTGTTCTATTTGTAAGACTTATATAAAATTTCAAATTTCATAATTGGGTAATTATGTGTACAAATCTTAAAAAAATTCCTCAAAAGATTTTAAAATGTTAAAAAAAAGATTTATGCATATACTTTTAAATAAAATGCATTTTGTCTACCTTTGTGGATTGTTATTGCTGACGAATTTGTACTTTTAAAGAGAAAGTTTCTGAAAAATCAAAAGATGGCAACAACGAAGCGCATGAACCGATTAGCTGGAAACACACAATTGCTTTTATCGCGTGACAATGACATCACATTTGTTTTTGAACTGATTGACTAAAAAACGTAATTATCATTATCATGTGACTATGAATTGAGCATATTGTTTACCACTTGAAGCCCAAATCGGAATTATTATCCAACAACCCTATGCTAGACTGAAAAGTAAATATATATATAAGGAACTTATTTCAATTGAAGTGATGCAAATTACATTGAATTTTGGAAATTTGCACCAACAACCAATTTTCCAAATTTACACGGTTTTGCTGTCAGATATTGTTGTAGTTTTGAATCAATATATGCTTGTGAAATGTTTTCTGTTATGATCATAATAAAATCACAAAATCTCTTAAAATTAACTAAAATACATTTAAAATAACCTAATTTTTTTAGCATCTTTAAGGAATAATCCTAATACAGACTTGGTAAAAAAAATTTAAAGCCCCATTAAACAAATAAAGGGTGTTTTCTCAGAGGTATAGAACTTTAAATTGCAATAAAACAACGATGTATTATTCGATTGACATGAATTCTTTTTTATTCGAAAGATAATCTTGTGGCATTACATTTTAAATATGATCAAGCAAGGCGTAGATTCGTCGAATGGGCCCAAACCGAGATTGCCGTTGTTCCCGATTTTCATAAGCAAATTTTGTTTAGCGATGAAGCGCACTTCTGGTTGAATGGCTACGTCAACAAACAAAACTGCCGCATTTGGAATGAAGCTAATCCACAGGTGTATGTCAAAACACCGTTACATCCTGAAAAACAGACTTTTTGGTGCGCTTTATGGGCTGGTGGAATCCTTCTTCAAAAACGATGAAGGCCACAACGTTACAGTCAATGGTGATCGGTATAGAGCCATGATTACTAACTTTTTCATTCCTGAATTGAACAATCATGATATCCAGGAGCTGTGGTTCCAACAAGACGGCGCAACATGTCACACAGCTCGTGCCACAATCGATTTATTGAAAGACACGTTTGGTGACCGCCTAATTTCACGTTTTGGACCTGTGAATTGGCCTCCAAGATCTTGTGATTTAAAACCGCTAGACTATTTTCTATGGGGCTATATAAAGTCATTGGTTTATGCGGATAAGCCACAAACGCTTGACCATTTGGAAAGGCTACATTCGCCGTGTTATTGCCGATATACGGCCACAAATGTTGGAAAAAGTCATCGAAAATTAGACGTCCAGATTGACTACATCCGAGCCAGCCGTGGCAGTCATATGCCAGAAATCATACTTAAAATTTAACGCCACAAGATTATCTTCTTTCGAATAAAAAAAAAATTCATGTCAATCGAATAATACATCGTTGTTTTATTGCAATTTAAAGTTCTATACCTCTAAAAAACACCCTTTATATACTGGCGGTTTAATAATTAGAATAAAATGTTTTAAGTTACTCATTTTTATTTTATACCTAAAATGTTTATGAAAAATTAAGTAAAAAGTTTATTTGCTAAGTATTATTAAATTATTTTCAAATTTTCGCAGACTTGCATAACAAAATATGCTATTTGCGTAAAAATCTCATAAGTCATTAAGTAACATTGGTTCATCTTTTTGTTTGTAGGAAAAATTGGAAGTGGCATGCATGATTATTTATTATTT